CAAATGTTATCTCTTTTGTTTGTCATGCGAGAGTGACACGAGAAATTGAAACTTCCTCTGAGTTTTGTCACGTGATATGGGTGCGGGGAACCCGAGCGTGCTGTGGGTCGTGGGGATTGTTTGACCATACTTCACCGTGCTGATCAGTGGCAGGTCGGTTGAGACGGGGGTGCGAATAAGAAAAAAACGCAGCAATTACAGTTGCCGTGTTTGTGTCTCTTTCACGTGCCAGAGGTGGCGAGTTCAACCTTTGTCCCCTCAAATGAGGATAACAAACACCCCACTGCCCAAGGACGACAACTCGGTTTAACGGAGAGATTATCCCTTGGCTGTTGAAATCACTTCAAATAATTAACTTGACCATGATCATCACCAGTAAGCTTACCAAACAAACAAAAAACCTGCTTCTAATTAAAAAAAAACAAATCCTGGATAAGCTAATTATTTTCTAAGTTAAATAAGTTTTCATTTAAAATCGGAATTGTTTAGTGAACTTGAACTTGGGTACTGTGTACGGCAGGACATTGCATTGGATTTCTGGATATGTCAAAAGTTGCGAGTAGGTCAGTGGTTGTCAATTTTTTTTGTCGTGTACTCTATCGACTGTATGCGTACCCCTACAAGCGTATAAGGGGGGTTTATTTTGTATTTTAACAAGCCAGATCTTATCATTGTTTGCATACTGCAAATATTTTCCTCGGTGGACTCTCGCCCCTACGAAAGTGAACACTTTGTCTGCTAAAATAAGGTCCAGGATACTACTGTAAAAACAAGCGTGGAAATCACAGCCAGCAGAGAAACAGAACATTGTAAGCTACTCAAAATGACAAGCTACTCAAGGGGTGCCACGGTGGCGAGATGTTAACTACCTCACCTGCTATTCAGGAGCTCGTGGGTAAGATGCCGACCCTGACACCTGCTGTATATTTGGAGTTTGCATGCCCCTTTAACCGTGGTCATGTGGATTTTTCTCCGGGTACTCCGGCTTTTCCTATCCCCACGCTTAGGAAAAAGCATTTCTGAGTATTTGGCTACTGCTATAAGTTACCACGTGATGAGCCACTTCTTTGAGATATAATTTGTGATAGTCAGTTGGCTTGTGGACAAGATCTCTATAGCTCAAGCTTGTCATCTTCATTTATCCCTTCGATCAGCGTATCAGTGGCCATGGGGACACAAAAGGAATCCGAGACTTCTCATTATTTTGCCAGTACTGTATATTCTTTCAATATTAATAGTTTTTCAGAAACGAAAATCTTATCAATTTTTTTCTAAATCCATTTCATCATAGATTATTTAAATATCCAGTTCTGGCTCATACTACTTTTGTGAACCCGAGTGTATTGCGTGTACACAAGTGTAGTGTTCGATTTCACTCGGACAACTTTTGTCTTTCTCCGAACACCGCTTTATTTACAACTCTCAGCATGTCCTCCACATTCCACAGTATCCTGGTCGCCACGGCTCGCTCGCCATGCTTCACTCGACTCGCTCGCCACCTTTGTCTCTCCACTCCCCACGATCACTTCGCTTACTCCGCCGCTAACTTATTCGTCTCCGCTCTCCGCTATCACCGTCGCTGTGTTCTCTCCACTGCTAATTTCTTCGTCTTTGTTCACCGCTATCACCGTCACTATGCTCACTCCACTGTTTAACTGCTTCATCTTTGTTCACCGCTATCACCGTCACTATGCTCACTCCACTGCTGGCTGTTCTCCTCTTCAGCTCCGCTATCGCTACGCTCTCTCCACTGCTAGCGATTCTCGTCTTCAGCTCCGCTATCGCTATGCTCTCTCTAAGCTCTCCACTCTTCAATTCCCCGCTGTTGACTCCAACTTCAATTCCCCGCTGTTCACTCCAAGCTCCCCAACTTCAACCACCTCCGTCTCCAAGCTCTCCAAACTCCAACTCTCCCGCTCCAATTGCCGACCCCCCAATTTATCCCCGCTCTCATTACGCCCCAATTATTAGTCCGCGTCCCAACGGCACTCCGCGTGACCTACACCTGTTTCTCCTCCAGACCTTTAGGCGCCACTCTAGCCTTGGCAACAGCTCCAACCAATCACAGCCGTCCACGGCTCTCCCAGCTTAATTGCCCTAACATAACCTGCACTGTATTCGCCTTCACTACAGGCTGACCCAAGATAACCCGTACTGTCTGTGTGATCATGTAATCACGCTGTTTGTCCTACGCACCTTCCTACTCCACTACACAAGTAACACGGAGAAACATTCTCACACGAACCATGGGACGAACGCAGCGGCAGTGGCACACGCCGCGCTTGTTTTGACGATCGCAGGCACACGGAATATTGTTTTTATGCTGGTGGTGTACCACAACAGGTACAACTAGATCTCCTTTTCTGTCCAGATTTTTTGTAATCGAACAATAATTAAATGATTAATTAACGAACCCCATTTCGTGACCATCACAGATCATTCTTGCCAAGGAGAATATTCCGGTCCCGTGAGTTCTCGCCTGGTCTAACAAATAACACGTAAACTATTTTTTACCGTGAAAGATGTGCAATTTGAAACTCAAAACTTAACCTATTCGACTCGATTCAGGGCCTAAGACGTCGATGCCCCATATATGCACAAGCCACCCACACATGCCCTCATCACCAGCCATGATTGATTCTCTGTTGGATGATGGCCTCCTCAAAGCTGTAACCAGCTCACAAAACACAAGATAAAGATAATTCAAGTATATCCTCCAACAATCCACAATGACAAAGTAGACCAATTGTGTGAAGTTATCATCCAGCTACTTAATGGGAATACAATGAATCCCATTAAGAGACATGTACTAGCCCTTGAAATATGCACTTGCCTCTAATACAGTGGGTCTTAACCTGGGGTGCATGCATCCGTTGGGGGAGTGAGACGACCTTTCTGGGAGTGCGAGACATTGCCTGATTTTTTTTAAAGGTAAATCAACGAAACACAAATTAAGCACGGGCACGTAAGTTCAACTACTTTGTTTCATCAAACCCTCTATGTATTTATTAACATTGTATACATTTTAAAGAATATACGAGTAACCCAAAAATGTATGCTAGGTGGCAACAGACATGCCAGCGACCAGGAAGGTATACTAATACTCGATATGCACCAGCTCCTCGTGCATGCACGACCAAGCGCTCATACCTAATCGGCAAGAGCCCACCAGAACCTCAGGTGAGTCGACGCATGTGAAGAGGAGGCCACGCGGGTCGTCCTGGCAAGGAAACTTTATTGGTGCGTCACGTGACGTGGCGATGACCACGTAATTCACGTGCAGGCAGTGTCGCTGCACGCGCCCCTCCGCCACTGATTGCCCACGCAACGTCGTATTCAAGTGGCCGAAGCGCACGGTCCAAACCTCAGATTAGCACGGTTGGCTACGTATGGTGCGAGAGAAGTTCAACACAATGTACATACTTACCAAATCGTGGAACTTATTTTTCTTTCGTATGGCATGGGGGGGGGGGCAACAGCTTGTGTAGATGATGTCATAGTTGAATGTTAAGGTCCTTCAACGAATCCAAGGCGGCAGTCGACGCTGTGTGGATCGCAGCGACACCGCCAGAGTGTGCGCTCGGCGGCGATGCGTTTGATGTTTTGGGCTTCACCACGGTCGCAGTTTCGCGATTCTTTGATGCTCCACAGGCCTATTCCAGGTGACGTGGCAGCCCCTCCAGAATCGATATCAATGGGCGAATGGGATGCGGTCAGTCGACCTAATTGGAACAGAGCGCGAACGTTTTTATTGCTCATAATAGAGGTTGTTGGGTTAGATCTCATCAATATAAATGTGTCGTTAAACCCACTACCACCCGACACAGCCAATTAGTAAGGTTTGTCACGGAAATAAAACATGTATATTCGTTACAAGTACAACACACCGGTGTGTTGGAGAGCAAATCCACAACATTTACAATCCGAGCTCGACGTTTCGCCAGTAATTACAACTAACATCATCAGGCGGCAGCTAAATTTGAGAAGACATCTTCCCGTTTAGTTCTTAAATAGAGGGATGCATTGATGTCGTCACTTGTGAGCCAATCAAGTGCGAAGGCCAGAGGGGGTGGGGTGCAGGTAATGTTTGCATATAAATTACAATGGATATCCATTAGCGGTTGGGTTATTGCCTCCCACGATTGTTAGGATGCGCGAGGAACGCCGTTCCCCCTCGGAGATTGAGGTTGGCGACATCTCCGCAATCGTGCCAGGCTAGGTTCACGCTAAGGCCTCGTCACTGATAAGCACCAAGCAGGAGTGTGGGTGGATGGAGAGATCAAGTTTTTGATGATGCAGACACAGAGTCTTGCTGTGATTACAATTTGTATTTAATAAATTGTAGTTGATTTCATTGGATGATGATGTTAGTGGGAGATACCCTAAAAATGTTGGTAGATAGATCCAGTCTATGAAAATATTCGGATTATTACGGGAAAAATCCAAATGACACAGATTATAAAGATAAAGGTGAGGGCTGCGATGCTTTCTAACGATGATGGTGAAGGGAGAGACCCAGGCAACCTGGGAAAGACTCGTCCCCCGTGCATTGAGCTCAACTTTGAAAGTATGAATGAAGAAGTGTCTCCTCTGTAGAGAAACCGTAGGTTCATTTTCTTCTACTTTGGGTGACGCTGTTTTTAGCACAGCGATCGTACAGCCGGGGAAGTGGGGGGCGGGAGCGGGCTGAGGCCAATAGCCCCCCCTGCCATCCCCTTCTCCTCCCCGTGACGCCACCTCTACCCCCCCCCCACCTCTCCCTAGACCGTCAAGGCCGTCACGACGAGGCCATCATCGTGGCGTGCTGCTGCAGTAAGCAGCGGATATGTGGTCACGTGTCAAGTTTTATTGGCTGCCCCTGGCATGTCCGATGTGCGGCCCGGGCGTTCACACCCCTCCCCTGCCCCTCGCCCCGTCCTTTCGGTGCGGTGTTTTAGCTGCTGCAGTTGAACTCCCCTCATCCGTGGTGATGTGGGGACACCGTGGATCCTCTAATCCGCGGGGGTTATCCGCAATCATTTGTTCCGATTTTCTGCAGGAAACAAAAAATGTTGCATAATTGTAAGAATAATTGCTGATCAATGGTCGTAGTTTTTGCAGATCCAATGGCTCCCAGAAGCCAATGCAGCCAAGCTGCATTATAAGGTCGCACTCATTACATAATTCCTGACTGATCTCGTCAAGGAGCATAAACCATCACGCGAACTCCGGTGATCCTCGCATCAGCTTTTGACTGCTGGCCATCGAACAACGATGGTCACCACATCGCGCGCTTTCAGATGCACTTCTGCAGTCGTCTGGAACGCTCTCCCTTCCGATACGGTATTAGGAAGTCACTGGATCTATGCACTTTTAAATCTAGATTGAACACTAATTTATTTAGAATTTATTGTTGTGTAAAGTTTGTTGTCCTTTCCCCGTACCTCCGATTAGCACGGTTGGCTATGTACGGTGCGAAAGAATGTCAACACACAAATATATATGTAGTGTAAAGTCGAGCCGGCACGAGGTTGGGGGGGGGGGGTCCGTCCTTTATTTCCCCCCAGCCCACACTTGCCCACAGCCCTCTCCCAACCCGTTCCCCGCCAGTGCCCCGAGACCCCCGATGCCCCCCTCCTGCATCTCCTCGCCTGCTCCTTCCCTTCTCCACTGTCCCTGCTCCACTGCCTCCCTCCTCTTGGTGGGAATCCTCTCCATGCCCCTTAACCCACTGTCCATCTCCATTACTACCCCTGGCATCCCTTACAATAGCATGAACACTTGTAGGGCATGCGACACGGACACTTGTCGGTGACTCCCAGCCTTTTGTTCCACGAAGCCCAGAGCCCTCCTCCCACACCTCTCTATGCACCCTCTCACCTCTTTCCTTCTTTCCCACCAATATGATTCTTTTGGATATTTCCCCCCCAATCCCCTACCTCCTTTTTCGCACATTTCTTCCCAGCGCCTCTCTTTAACTGTCTTCCCTGAGCGTGGTGACGTGGGCCTGGGTAACCCCTACCTCTGTCAGCGTGCCACCTGCACAAACCTCTACATACACTTAAAACTATTTTTTTATTCTACCAGGTAAGACCCAATGAGCTATAGATCTCTTTTTCAGGAACCGAGTGATGGCTACAAGATGCTAAACGATCACTGCACCTGTAGATTTGTCTTGCCATGTTTGTTTCTCCCCATTTGACCTTCAAGTGCCTCATTCCTGCCAGATTGCATTTGTGTGGCCTCCGTGAAACGAATACTAATTTGATTGTCTGTGCCCCTCAAGCATAATCTATCCCTGATTGCCCTAAACCCAGAGCTAACGAAGCCATCCATTGACAACAGGAGTGGAAAGCAGTCAACATTTCCACATTGAGGCATTCGCTCTGCCATGCTTGACCTCACCTCAATTTATGTCCTTACCAAGTGCCATCACACAAAGTCACCCATGGCAATGCCACCCGATTGCCCACGTTGACCCTGCGTCATTGTGCTACCTTCCAAACCTGCCTTTTGGGCATACCTATATCTTTTGGGAACGTGTGAGGTCAACACTCCGGCAAAAGTCTGCGAGCGATACTTTGTCTGCATGAACCTGACCAAGACCCCTGCGTGGTGAAGACGCGATCCTAGCAGCATCCCGGAGGAGTTTGGAGCCACACGACGTGGAGAATCGCTCGTGCTGGTGGGGGGAGGTCGTATCAGCATTTTGCGTGCACTGAACGCGAGTGCCTTATTAATGCGGTGACAACAATTTTCAACAAGTCCCAGAGAGTGGCGTCTTTGCATGCGTGACTTAATAATTCATTTCCGACATCACTCCTTGTCATTTGGTCAGCCATGTCACTTGTGTATGTGTAGCGGCATTGTTACGCGTAACATGTGTACTTAACTGCGTAGCAGTATTGTATTGTATTGCCCTCAGTGTGTAGGGGGCGCAGAACAGCCAAGGGGGCTGTTGAGTGACAGTTGTACGACCCACGACTACAATAACCGTTGACCCGGGGTGAGGGGGCGAAAGCCCACTGAGGGAGGGGGCTGGGGGGGGGGGGGCAACGGTCGGACCCAGACCCTCTCGAGAGAGGGCAGTTGGGAGAGAGGAGGATATAAAGGGCAGCAGCTCTCCCAGCGTGAGTCAGTCCGCACTCACGTCAAGACCCGAAGACATCTGGATATCGCCTTGGGACTTCCGACCGCCGGCCCTTGTCAAGGTCAGGTCCGAACGTCCCAGTGGCGGCACCCGTTACCCTGGCAAGGTCGGGTGAGCATAGCCTCCCCTAGGTCCCTTAGCGGAGGAATTCCTGATAGCAGAGTATAGTGTGAGGGCACACTAAGTGTGATGACGTATCCTCTAGGCTATCGGGTGGGAGAGGCCGTTACCTCTCTGTGTTAGGGACGTTATTTGTCGTTAGAGTAAATAAACAGTGTTGCCTACAAATGAAGTCTCTGCCTACTTTGTCAACACTACATATGCATGACGGAAGGAGTCACACGGGCACAAGAGTGGCTCTCACCAGTGACCACACTCTGGAGGGGTGGTTAGTTTTTATTTTGCAGACAGGCCACCGAAAGAGTTTACACCGGGCTAGTGCAGTTTTATACAGACGGCAGCAACATGAAATGTATCGCAAAGCTCACGAGAAATCACAACGCGCGCACACTCAATCCTACACCCTAGCGCATGCTGGAACTCAAACACATTGAGGCAATGTTTCCTCAGCCGGAGCTGGGCCACCAAAGCCATTTTGGAGAGCATTGTAGATGTGGGGAAGACTGTGCACCACCTCCACTAATCCACCAGATGGCGCGCCACGCCAGCTCACCACAATTTAGCATTCTATGGCAGACACCCCAATACGAAAGCACGAAACTGACTTTTCCTGGGCGGTCCTCGACTTAAGTCGGTTCGACTTACGTCGATCGGCATTTGCAGGAGGTTGCCAATTGCCACCACAATGTTATTACCCATGGGAGTGGCAATTTGGCGCTACCGTGGCTAGGAGATGTTGAAGCTGCATCTGCACTGAGAGAGCTTTTTGGGTGCCTCCCTAAAGATGAAATAGTTTTAGTGGGTGATCTAAATTGGAATTGACTAAACCCGCCGGCCGTGGCCACAAATTTTGCAGATGAATTTAACCTGTTTCAATTAATAATTGTCCCCACAAGACCCAACCTAAAAAATCCGGGACAGTCATCTCTGCTTGACGTCCTATTGACAAATGCCCCTCACAATTTCACACTGACTGGTGTTCTGGGTAAACCTTAGTGATAACTCCTTCATTTTTGGGGTGAGATCATCAGCAAGACCCAAAGCCCCCCCCCCCTAAATTGGTTGAGAAGCACTCCATGAGACACTTCAGCACTCAGGCATTTACTAATGATGTGCTTCACTCGGATATTGACAAGTTCTGTGATATCCCCAACCTGACTACGGCTTTGGAGACCTTCAGGTACACGTTTCTCCACATTCTTAACAAAGATGCTCCTTTGGTTAGATTTAAAACTAAAGGAAACCGCCCACCATGGTTTGATCCTTTGATTACAAAGCTCATGAAAACTAGGGACAAGGCTTGGGCATGTGCTCAGAAAAGTAATTTGGTCAATGACCGGCTAGAATACAGGATTTTTTATAGAATAGATGCGTCAAAAAAATACGGCATGCAAAAAATGCCTACTTTTCCTCCACTCTCCTGGAATCACATGGAAATGCCAGGATTTTCTGAAAAACAATCAAATGTATCGAAAAGGCATCCAAAACAGACAATCTGTCCGTTGAGCTTAATCGAAATGGGGAATACTTTTCAGATCCCAAAAAATAGTTGACAATTTTAACCTTCATTTTTCTGAAGCTGGTAATCTTTTTGATAATGTATTGGGAGTCACCCCTGCTCATGCAATTCCTACACCCCTGTCCAAACATTAAACGAAATTTATTTTCCAGACAATCCACGAAAGTAATGTTCTGAAACAACTGTCCCACCTCAAAGGGTCCTCCTCTACCGAAGCAGATAGTATTCCCGTCTTTGCTCTACTGTTGGTCACCTAATATACAAACCTATAGCCCATATTTTCAACCTGTCCATCAAAGAAGCATCAGTTCCTCTAGAATGGAAACATTCCTATGTCCGTCCACTTCACAAAGGGGGTCCTAAAGATGATCCAAATAACTACCGACCTATCTCAATTTTGTCCACGTTGATGAAAATTTTAGAAAATTTATTGAACTACCAAATTACCAGTTTCCTGTCCACAAACAATCTACTACATCTAAAACAATCTGGGTTCCGAAAAAAATACAGCACCACATCTGCTGTATTAGACTCTCTGAATCACATTTACAGTAGCCTTGATAATAAGCAGTACTGTGCCTGTCTTTTTCTAGACCTGTCCAAAGTTTTTGATACAGTAGACCACAACACCCTGCTTAGTAAACTAAGTTGCCTCGGTTTTTCCGAAAACGCAGTAAAATGGTTACAAAATTACCACTTTTCCCACACCCAAACTGTATTAACAGATGGTTGTAGGTCAAACAGTGTTAAGATAACAAAAGGGGTTCCACAGGGTTGCTTCCTCGGCCCCCTTTTGTTCTCTCTTTATGTCAATGACTTGGGCACTGACCTGGATCATTCCAGGGTGCATCTTTTTGCAGATGACACGATACTGATTACTGCTGGTCGCTCTCCAGATTACGTGATTGCTAAGCTACAGGGTGATTTCAACAAACTACAACATCAGCTAGTTGTTCTTAAACTAGTCCTGAATACCTCCAAAACCAAGGTGCTATGCTTCTCACCAGGACTAAAGCAGGAAGTTATTTTTCCCCAATTACATTACTGAAATAATTATCAAATAGAGCAAGTCAAGATCTATAAGTATCTTGGGGTCATCCTGGATTCAAAACTGAATTTTGAAGATCACATTGATTATATTGGTAAAAAGACAAAAATAAAAATTGCTTTTCTGTATCGACACAAGCACTGCTTCCCCCAATGTTCCGTTTGGAATTGATCAAAGCTACAATACTGCCTCTACTTGACTACTGTGACATCAGCC